CCTGTAAAGGCCTATACTTTAAGAACTTAGGTGTATTTTTATCATGCCCCACAAGTAGTAGAACAGGCAGAAATCCACCCAGTCTGAAGGACTGGGAGGCAGTAGTGGGCCATTTGGGAAAGGTACCCCGGGATGATTGGGATCAGTTTGTGCTGTGGCTAGTGGAGGTGGGCAGGGAGATGGAGAGTCTAACTCGCGAAAAACAGGTGATCATATGGTGTAGTCTTTTGGGACTGGGCACCTTGGGAATCGATGTGGCAGGACTGGCACACCCATTTCTAATCCCCAGACAGGTGGCAAAACAGTTGTTTGGGGTGTACTCTTGTACTGCGGGGATGAATAAGATAAAGCGAATCCCTGGGGAAACAGGGCAGGATACACTTAATCACATACAGGCATGGGCATGGTGCTGGGTGAATCCCTTGGATGGTCCATGGGTGATACTACAGAGAGGGGCACCAGGACCTGGTGGGGGTGTGGAGCAGGGTAGGGGTGTGGAATTGCTGGAGAAATGGTTGGAGCTGAGTAATCCGCAGTTCGTGGGACATTTAAGGTTGCAGCACCCTGAACTTGCTCCCAGTTTCTGGAACAGGCATCGGGGGGAGAGCCAGTCCATGTTATTACTCCAGGGGATCAGTACAAGGTGGAAAGGGGTGGGTCAGCCCGAAGGGGAGGATGTAGAGGAAGAGGTCGTGGCTTTGGGGGGGTAGTCAGGGATGAGCGGGCAGCTATAGAGCAACAGATCCAGAGACTGCAGGCTAAACTGACTACCCAGGATCTTACCAGATCAGGGGGAATGTGGCCCCAGAGGCCAGGGGAATGGCACTGCCTGAAATGCCAGGCATACAATTTTGCTAGGAGACAGGAATGTGTTCGGTGCGAGGACCCCCAGCTCCCCCGTGAACCAGTGGGAGGGACAGAGGTGGGTGCTATGATTTAGGGGTGCCCTGGGAGGCGTCCTGTCCATGTTCTCAGTTTAGGACGGGATGCATCTGGTCACCCCACACTCCAGGGAGCGATCAAAGGGAGTGCCATGAGGGATTTTTTAATAGACACTGGAGCAGCCATGAGCTTAACCACATGAGGGCAGGGGAGGCCCTCAGAAGGAACTGTAACAATTCTAGGGGCAACGGGAGGGGAGACACAGTTAACCCTGAGGTGGGGACAGATCAAAGGAATCTGGGGGAAGGGGAGATTATGTGGGGTTGTAATGATATGCTTAATCTGTTGGGGGCAGGAGATTTACACAAACTGGGACTTGTACTGGGTTTAGCCAATTGGGTGTGTTTACTGGGGCAGAAGAAGGACTGACAGGGCTATACCATTCCTATGGGGATAGCCACTCTGACCATTAAAGCGGCACATGCCCTCCCACCACCCCTGGCAGGGTGGGAACACATTCCTGTATGGGCTAAGGATAACCTGGATTGTGGTAGGGGCAGCATGCTGGAGGGAGGGGACCCTCCCCCACAGAAACAGTATCCTATTCCTCGGGAGGCATTGGCAGAGGTGGGGGTAACTATTGGGGAATTGGAACAGAGGGGATTGATAAGAGCGGTTGCATCCCCTTGTAATGTTGCTGTGTGGCCAGTGAGAAAGCCAAACGGTACCTGGCATCTCACTGTGGATTACAGGGCACTAAATGCTCTGGCCAATTCACCAGCCTCAGTAGTGGCAGCGTACCTTGAAACGCTAGCCCGTATTGGACCCCAATTCTGAATTTTCACTGTTTTGGACATAGCTAATGGGTTTTGGTCTCTGCCACTAGCTACCTCGTGCCAGTATAAAACTGCATTCACATGGGAGGGCAGATAATTCTGCTGAACAGTCCTACCCCAGGGATATCGGGACTCCCCTGCAATTTTTCACAGATACATGAGACAGGCTCACCTCTGCTCTACCCCCTCCCCGAGCCCTGTGGCAGCTCCCCACCCCACCCCCCTCCACCCTGAGTCATCTCCCCCGTGGCAGCTCCCCACCCCACCCCCCTCCGCCCTGATTCAGCTCCCCAATGGGAGCTCCCCGCCCCCGCCCAGGGAGCCGTGCAGCAGCTCCCCACCCCAGCTCACCTCTGCTCCGCCTCCTCCCCGAGCACACCGTCGCTGCTCCACTTCTCCCACCTCCCAGGCTTGCGGCGCCAATCAGCTGTTTGGCGCCGCAAGCCTGGGAGGGAGAGAAGCAGAGTGGGGCGGCGTGCTCAGGGGAGGAGGCAGAGCAGAGGTGAGCTGGGGCGGGGAGTTCCCCTGCGTGCCGCTCCTGCCCCTTACTTGCTGCAGGCGGCCTTCCCCACGCCCCTCTGCCCCAGCTCCTAAATGCCGGCGGCGACCGGGGCGGCCAAAGATCCGGCCGCCGCGGTCGCCGCCAAAGAAAATGCCGCCCCCCCAAATCCTACCACCCTAGGCGACCGCCTAGGTCGCCTAATAGGTTGCACCAGCCCTGCTGGCACTACAAGCAGAAAACACTAAAGCAGAAGTGTTAAAGGAATCCATAGTCTGGGTAGCCGGATTACATCTGGCTGGCACCCCACACCAATGTGAAGCCAGCCCAGGTAAATCCCAACATCAGGTGTTTCGGGTGGCTAACCCCAATCAGGGAAAGGAGGGGACACTGGTATGGTTTTTAGATGGAAGTTGCACGTATCAGGGGGCACAGAAAACTGCAGGCTTACCTGTTGTGGGAATCAGAGGAAATGAGACAGTCAGCACCATTGGTTTCTCACTAGAAGCAAGGTTAGCTCAGGAGGCAGAACTGGCAGCCTTGCTAACAGCTTTAAATGAAGTGGATCCCAAATTTGAGCCAGAATGTTGGGTGGTGGTAGATTCAGATTATGTATTTTGTGGGGTCACATTAATGCTGAGATGGTGGGCGGAGAATCCTTTCAGGGCAACAGACGGCTCCACAATCAAGCGTGCTAACTGGTGGAAGCAAGTGGAGGAGCTCAGTCACTGTTTTACACGGATCAATGTGGTAAAGATAAAGGCACACAAGAAAACAGGACCCCTAAGCAAAGGGAATAATCTGGCTGATGCAGAGGCCAAACGGGCTGCAACAGAGGCACCCCCATGGCCCTGGAAGCCAGAAGAGAGTGTGCCTGTAGCAGTGATAACAAGAAATGGGGTGGGTGCAGATCGGGGAGGGCGAATTCAAGAGTTGCAAAAATCTGACCCAGGACTGGAAGGCATCATGAAACTTGGGGACAGGCATGTTTCAAAGGTGGAACTAATGGAAGGGATTTGGTGTGTCTTAACAGCTGAGGGACCAGTAATGCTGTGCCCTCAGGGAAGCCGGACGGCTTTCTTTAGCCGGGTGCATGGGAGCTTGGCCGGGGGACACCCAGGGTTTGAGAAGGCACTGGGAACTTTAAAAAGGTTGTGCTGGTGGCCAGGAATAGCAGCTGATTTAAAATCACATCTGGAATGTTGTTTGAACTGTGCCAGGCACAACCCACCTCACAAGGTGCTAAGGGGAGAATTAATGAGACAAGCCCCAAAGGGACCTTGGGAAAGAATACAAATTGACTACACAGGACCCCTACCACCAGATCACAGAAAAAAATGATGCATGTTGGTGGTAGTGGATGCTTTCAGCAGGTGGGTGGAAGCTTTCCCCACAAAGTATCAAACTGCCGGAGTAACTGCTGAAATACTGGTAAATGAGGTATTCACTTGCTGGGGGGGTCCCAAAGGTGATTGACTCAGACCAAGGAGCTGCTTTCCGGTCAGATCTGTTAGAAGAGCTCTCAGCCCTTGCTGGAATCACACAATTGTTCCATATTGCTTATCACCCACAGGCTGCGGGGCAGATGGGACTCATGAACTGCACCATTAAAAGTGAGCTAAGAAAGGGAGTGGAAATCGGAGGAAAAAACTGGTCAGTTACTGCCCTTTGTCTTAATGAGAATAAGGGTCTGAGAATCAAAGGGCACAGGATTTTCTCCATATGAGGCTCTCATGGGAAGGCCCATGAAATGGTGGGAAAATCTACTTACCCCAGTACCTGACACGGCTTAACACAAGAATGGATTTTAACTGTAATTGACCATGTAAAACAGGTACAGCAGGTGGTGGCTGTGACGGTACCTCCCATAAGGCTTTATGGAAACATGCTTAATTGTTTTATGCTACTGTAACCCCTTTGGGGTTTAGAGAGCATGGCCCCTTTAAATCTTTTTCCGGTGGGGGAGGGGGAGAGTGAGAAAAAAGGAGGGAAACTCCAGGGGGTGACTCTGAAGCTGAGAGGGGGAGAGAGGCCCTGGCAAAGTGAAGCAGCAGAGAACCTGCCTGAAGCCTGGGAGGGACAGGGCGGCCAATCGGGGACACGCCAGGACAGGAGCCAGGAGGAGCACTGTGCCAGGGAGGCAGGGCCGGCTTTAAGCCGATTCGGCCGATTCCCCGGAATGGGGCCCCGCGCCTAAGAGGCCCCGCAACGTCCGGGGCTGCCAGCGGAGCGGGAAAAAAAAAAAAAAAGCCGCGTCCTGCTTCTCCCCCCTCCCTCCAGCGCTTGCGCTGCCATACAGCTGATCAGCGCAAGCCTGGGAGGGAGGGGTGAGGAGGAGGAATGCGGAGTGCTTGGGGAAGAGGCGGGGCCAGGGCGGGGATTTGGGGAGGGATCCAATGGGGCAGGGAGGGGGCGGGGCTGGGGGCGGGGCCAGGGTGGGGATTTGGGGAGGGATCCAATGGGGCAGGGAGGGGGCGGAGTTGGGGCGGGGCCGGGGCAGAGTTGGGGCGGGGGAGCGCGAGACAATTCGCATCCCGGCGTGGGGCCCCGCACCTGCTAAAGCCGGCCCTGCAGGGAGGAATCGCCCGAGAAGGACAGGCTGGAGCTGGACCCAGTATCACGGCTGCCCAGAGCTGCATGGGGCTGTGAGTACTGGGGCTTGTGACTCTGCATTGGGAATAAGGAGGGAGGCTGCTGGCTAGTTAAGTGGGGAGGTGGTCGCTCTGTGTGGCTTTGCAGAGAGCGGCAGAAGAGGGCACTGGAGGGGTTTGTTGGGGGAAAGTTCACTGGCGCCGAAGGATTTGGTCCAACCTAGTGAAATCAATGCCCTTGGTGGTGATGCCCTCCTTCTGCACTACCTGCTGTAGCAAATCCTCTAGTCTCCTGATGAAATCCGACAATTGTTCTTGGGGCTCCTGATAGGTATGGCGGAACCGATAATACAGGTCTTCACTGCTATTAGTAGTACCGTAGACACTCTCAAGAGAGGTTAAATAGTCTTGCACTGTGGCAGCTGGTTGGGAGTCTTTCAGGGCTCGGATAATTCGCATGGCAGGTCCCCTCAGACTCTCAAGCACACGTTTCTGCTTCTCAGCATCAGAGCATTCCCACTCTTGGACAAGTGGCACCGTAAAATCCCTCCAGGTCTCGTAATCCTCCTCCCCTGGGGGTACTGGTGACACCCCCGAGAATGAACGTAACTGCTTGTATGGAGCACTTTCATATACCGGCCTCAATGCATCTTTGAGAGTGTTTCCCAGCTCTTTGGCCCATCCCACCAGGCTGGGTGCTGCAGGTGTTGGAGTCCCTTCTAATGCCAAAATTAATTCTTCTCTTGTCCGCTTCTCATCCACCATCAGAGCTTGCAATTTCTGCGCTAAAGAATCCACCTCAAGTGACATGGGCACACTAGGAGGAGACTGCTCTGCCCCCAGAATTGTCCAGGGAATATCTTCTACTTGCACCTCTTTGGGCACTTTATCAAGATCTGCTTCCTTGGAGTGAGTACATAGTGCTACCATGCCCTTCACTTTGCGGTTGTAAATACGGGTGTGGACCTTTACCCTCCCCAGTATTTCAGCTGCATCTAGGCTCTCCTCAATTTCATTTGGTTCCATCTCTTCTGGGAACCCCGCCACCAGCACAGCTTTGGTTACTGGGATTCGTGCCCCTTGGCACAGGTCTTCTAGTAATCCTCTCTCCATTTTTTTTTTAAAGTCACTCAGGAGTTTCTTTGCTCTGTGAAGGAGAGCCCAGGATGCGCAACGTATGGGTGTGTGTGGGTGTTCTGCAAAGTCCCCGTACGGGCCACCAAGTGTAACTTTAGCGCCCACGTGGCCAAGAGGGAATCTGCTCTGGAGGCAGCTCTGGCCAAGAGAAGGCGCGCGCAGGAATGCAGCAGGAGAAATCCCTTCCACCCCAGGGGCACCTGTTCCAAATCCTCCAGAGTGAACACACCCACCCACTGGAAAAGTACATGGGTATAAGAAAGGGAAATATTTATTTACAAAGGGATGAGAGGAGAAATACAACAAGGGGAAATATAGGGGGAGCAGTAGAACAGGGCTGCATCCAAACCAAGGCCCCACGGGCCGAGTGGTAGCACAGTCTGGAAGGGCAGACACTGAGCAATGTGTCTGCACACAGAGTTCAGGAGTCCTGAGCAAAGTTCCAGTCCAGTGGTGAGTCTTGGGTGCTCCTGGTCATCTTCAGCGCCAGTGAACTTTCCCCCAACAAACCCAGTGGCGTAGCCAGCTTCTAAGAGGAGGGGGAGCAAACATAAAAAAGGCACCCCCCCTTGGCTCCTCCTCTGGCCACGCCCCCCTTGGCTCCTCCTCCGGCCACACCGCCCCTCCCCCCCATGGCTCCTCCGGCCCTGCCATGGCACCCCTGTGGTCCCCCCCTCGCTCCTCCGGCCATGGCTGCCGGCCGCCATGCTGCGCCCCCCCGCTCCTCCGGCCACGCCTGCACCCCCCCTTGCTCCTCCGGCTGCGGTTGCCGGCTGCGCTGCGGGCCGCCAGCCTGCGCCTCCCCTTGCTCCTCCAGCCGTGGCTGCGGGCCACGCTTTGGGACGCATGCCGCGCCGCCCCGCTCCTCCGGCCGCGCCTGCCGCCCCCCCATTGCTGCTGGCTGCGCTGTGGGCTGCCAGCCTGCGTGCCCCCTCGCTCCTCCGGCCGCTTTTGGAAAGGCGGGGGAAGCGGCTGCTTCCCCTGCACCCAGCTACCTACGCTACTGAACAAACCCCTCCGGTGCCCTCTTCTGCCGCTCTCTGCAAAGCCACACAGAGCGACCACCTCCCCACTTAACTAGCTACAGCCTCCCTCCTTGTTCCCAATGCAGAGTTACAAGCCCCAGTACTCACAGCCCCATGCAGCTCTGGGCAGCTGTGATACTGGGTCCAGCTCCAGCCTGTCCTCCTCAGGCGATTCCTCCCTGGCACAGTGCTCCTCCTGGCTCCTGTCCTGGGGTGTCCCCGATCAGCCGCCCTTCCCAGGCTTCAGGCAGGTTCTCTGCTGCTTCCTTTGCGAGAGCCTGCTTGCTGCCCCTCTCTCCCTCCGAGCTCCAGCCGCACTCCCTGGAGTTTCCCTCCTTTTTTCTCACTCTCCTCCTCCCCCCAGGAAAAAGATTTAAAGGGGCCATGCTCTCGAAACCCCAAAGGGGTTACATCAGTGTTATAGAGGGTGAACAATTTATGAGTTTACCCTTTATAAGATTTATACAGGGTAAAACTGATTTATTTGGGTTTAGATGCCATTGGGAGTTGGGCATCTGAGTGTTAAAGACAGGAACACTTCTGTTAGGTGCTTTCAGGTAAACCTGCAGCTTTGGGGCAAGTAATTCAGACCCTGGATCTGTGTTGGAGCAGACGGGAGTGTCTGGCTCAGCAAGACAGGGTGCTGGAGTCCTGAGCTGGCAGGGAAAGCAGGGGCAGAAGTAGTCTGGGCACATCAGGTGGCAGCTCCCAGGGGGTTTCTGTGATCCAACCCATCACAGTGGCCTGGCGAGACGAGCAAGGAGCAGCAAGAGTCAAAGCATGGCATGACCTGCCCGGGGAACGTGATCTGCCCACGGTGGGAGATCTAGTGATGTACAAGATTCCAGGTCAACACCATCCATTTCCAGCTCCTAAATCGAAGGGCCCCTATCTTGTCCTTGACCAATTAGGGCCCAGACTGCTATTATTGGGTACAGAGAATGGAGGATGGGAGTGGGTTCACTGCACGCAAATAAAAAGGTACAAGCAGGGGATTGGGAAAGGGGACATGTACATTTTGTTATGTGTGTATTACAGGTTAATTCAAAAAGGAGAAAAGGATGGAACAATTACTAGTGCTAATCACAATTGTCACGTTTACAAATTCTATTCAGATCCCATGATGTAAAGTATCATAAGGAGAAAACACATGAATGGCTACACGTGCAACCTATGGTAATAAAGCCAATAAAAACTATGAGAATCTCCCCATAGAAAGATGTACCAACAGGAATTTGGTAGTGTCGGTATAAAGTGGCCACAGCCTGGAGCAGAGAATATTCCCCGACAAGCAAATGTATGGGAGCCATTGTGGGAGCAGGTGCAGCCAGCACTTTTTAACGTATCCTTTCACTCTATTACATGGGTGGGACGCCCCAAGGAATGGAGGATGGACCAAATTCATCCTAACTGTAATATGTACATAAAAGGATTGAAACAACAATTCAATTGGTGAGTGAGGGGACACACCTGGAATTGTGGTCGGAAAAGGGGATTGTGGGCAGCAGGGAACATGGAATCTGGGGGACAAGTGGGTAACCAAACAATTTGTAAGCCAAAATGTGAGATTTCAACAACAAATTAATAAATTAATGGCACAGGAACTATCGGCAGTTGCCACAGGTTGAAGCACAGCAGTAAAGGTAAACTTGCAGTTAACTCATTGGGCAGGGAACCTGGTAACATGGGTGAGGGATGGCTTCAGAAGATTAACATGGGGCGAAATGTGTGTAGGTATTCAAAATGTTCAGTTAATACTGCAGTGGTCAGGACTCTTGGTGTTGCTGTGGATTATCACACCAGCTGGTGTATTGTTAACTGTATTTGTGTTACATTGTATATGGAAACGATCAAGGGGGGCACAACCCCCTAGAGAACAGCCACTAATTATAACCTATAAGTAATGTAGTAAGCCCTCCCGCCCAGTGTACTAGATAACCCGGACCCAACCTTCTCAGGCCCACTCTAATGGGAAGTCAGGAACACTCATTGGAATAGGTGTGGTATACCTGTACGAGAGAAGGTGCAGGGCACGGAACTACACAAGGGGCAGTAGGACAGATGGAATATTGACACCTTCCACCTTGATGCCTGGGCCTATCAAAAAGTGTGTCGCCATATGTCCTATGCTTTTCCAGGGATACCTGGGCAGGAGGATCCCAAAAGAAAAAGAGAAAAAAAGGGGGTGGAGTGTTAGGTGTGACAGACCCAGACCAGTGGGGTACAGGAGTCTGGTAGAGGGCAAATATATTGGTCACTGGATGAGTAGTTTTCTGTTCCCTGAGTGACCAGAGCAGGGGCTGCACTAGAGTAATCAGGAACCTGCTAGAACCAGTTAAGGCAGGCAGGCTAATCAGGGCACCTGG